AAATTATTGATAAGAACATCCTCGCATGTAATACAAATATTGACATACTCTGATTTTGGCCAAAGCATCGCACTGGGGTGGCAGCCAGCATGTGCGGGTGGTGGAAAATTTCCCATTTCCCAGTTCCCAGTTTCCCAATTACAAGTTAAAGCTGATGCGACTGCTCCGATCTGAAAGCAAATGTCAAGACTCAGACTGAACGCGGGGCTGTCTCTTGGCCAAATCGGCTTAAAAGTTTTCACAAGCCAAACTGACGCGGAAAATCAAAGGAAAACCAAGCAGACTGTAATAAGCAGAGATGATGACACGTTCGAGGGTTTTTTGTTGTTCGCTTTAGAGGAATACATTTCATGAGTTGTTTTTTTTTTTTTTTGTTATATTTAATGGTTTAAATTCATACAATATATATATGTATATGGTTGTATATATATTTAATATAATCATTAAAACACATACAATTTTTGATAAATGCTCGCTTACAATCGAATGACAAAAGGAGTGAGGGAACGGGAAAGGGGGAAAGGGCTAGGTTGGAGATAATGGATTTTCTTTTGTTGTTGTTGTTTTTGCAATTTTGTTGCTTTTGATTCTGGCTCTTGATCATAAATGTTTGTTGCACATTACATATATATATATATAAATAATTACTTTTAAGTTTTTGGGTTTTGTTTTTTTCACACATAGTTTTACATAATAACAAAGATTTTGTTTTTTTCGAAGAGTAAAATGTTAAATATAATATATATTTAAATATAATATATTTGTATGTATATTTGCCAATTGCAAAATAAAGTGTTCTTTGATTTCTCATATTTAATATAATTTTGATTTTCGCTCGTGTTTTTCCTTCTCTCGTTTCTTTTTTTGATTTCATGCTCGTCTCTAACTTAACTCAACATCTTTTTTTTAATAATAAATTTTCAATGCAATTTTGAATTTTGCTTAAAACTAAATTTTATTAAGAATTTTGATTTTGATCTCGTTTTTGTGTTGTGTGTTATTTTTTTTTTGTTTTGGGTGTTTTTTCTTAAGTCTAATAAAATGTTGGGTTTTTTTGATTTTTTCTCCAGCTCTGCAGAACCTTTTGTAACTGCGGCCAAAAATTTTGATTTATGCTCATTTAAAAGGTACGTTGCAAGTTCTTTGTAAAATTGTTTACTTAACCATTTACACATATAAGCATGTATATATACTTATATATATATAGTACTATATATACTCTTTTTTTATAATTTCTTTGTCAATTTTGATTTGTGCGCTCTATAACAGAAATTGTCGTTGATTAAAGTAATTCTACGAAATGAAATCAATAAATAGATAAATGCGCCCAGGCCCAGGCGAAATGTGTGCTCTGTATACATATATATAGAAAATTGGAAATCGGGCGGATTGTAATAATGTCATTTTATTTAATGGCCGAAACGCTTCAATTTGCATAAAGAATTTGGCAAATGGTGCAGAATATTTTGCGCTAAAATCACATTGCATAATCGTTGGGTGTAGAGGGGGCAGGGGGAGGGGGGTTGGTTGCTGCATGAAACACCCCGTGGAAAACGTCACGAGAGCCGTCGCGTTGTCAAGTAAATTGCATTTTTCATTTTTCACATATTCTTGCATTTATATTGCATTTCCTGCAGCACACAAACACACACACTCACATATTTTTTTTAAACATGCAAATTGTGGCAGCACCCCGGACGGGTCGGCGGGGAGAGCAGCGGGTCGCCGGGACAACTTTTTGGCAATTGTTTGCCGTAAAAATTGTTGGCCCAGGATTACGAGCACAATGCCAAATGCCCAGTCCATTATAAATTGCCATAAAAATTCAATAGAAAATATATAGAAAACGCGCAGGCAGCACACAATTTGCATGGCCAGCCAGAAGGAGGAGGGTGCACAATTGTGCCTGCCGTGCCTCGAGGGTTGCAACCAGGGACAACAAATATATTACATATATATGTAAGTATATATCCATGGAAAGTGTAGTCAATAGTTGTAGCTGTAATTGCAGCAGCCAGCAGCAGCAGAGAGTATCGAATGTCCTGTGCGTAATCAATGAGATGAAATTTGCATGGACACGTGACAAATAATTAACGAAAAATGCCGCGAGTTTTGGCGAGGGTTGATTGCCGGACAGCGCCCACTGTGCGCAGTACACTCAGCGAAAAAAAGTAGCTAGTTATTAATTTAACCAAATATTGCTTAGCTCTGGGATGTGTTAAAGTTTGTCGAAGTATTTCGCATAGTCATTTCATATTTATGCTCGCAATTAATTTCGTTTCTGTAGCTGATTTCGCTGAGTGTACGCACATTTTTAATCAATTGCTCTGCTGCTTTGTAGATTTATTGGCTTTATTCTTGTACACTTTTTACTACCAGCAGGCGCAGCAGCTGCGCAATTTGAATTTTCCATGGAAAATGCGCCGCTTGACCCACACAACGGCTGCATTTGACCGTGTGCTAAGTTTTTCCCTTTTCCTCTCTATTATGTTTTATATTTTTCGGTTATCGCATTTCTTGTTTTTTGGTTTTTTTACTAATCATTTGGAGGGTAATTTTTTTGTATTTTATTTTAAGCAAATAGCCTAATCAGCGTCTGCGTGGGGGTTGAGCCGGAAGCGAGGCACACACAAACACACACATTTCGTTTTTTATGAGGGTGCCTGTGGCACGGATAACAACTCGAGAAACAGCTGCTGCAGGCAAATTGTGTAGAGTATATTTTTAAAGAAAGAAGATATTAACATATATTTTCAACTGGGCATTGTTGACAAATTGCGTACTGCTTGAAAATCCAATCAAATATCAATTTAATAATTTGCTCCCAAAAGGCGTTCAACCGGCATAAAGTCCATAGAGTAGAAGTGGCCCCTATTTCTCAGACAGTACTTTAAAATCAAATAAATAATAAAAAAAAAAGGTCTACAATTGCGTGCGAGTGTCAATTGACGGCAATCAGTGAGCGAGTTTTTTTAAGGGCTGCGATAAGATTTGGGTTTTGTGGCAAATACAACTTAACAGCCGGGCCGGGCCGCAAGTGTGGCACGCTTCGCGCCGGGGCCGGGGCCGGGGGCTTGGGAAATCAATCAAAGAAAACGTAAATTAAATAAAACTGAAAGTTTAACAAATACACGTGTTTATTTTTATATATACATTACAAATTAAGATGTTTAATTAAATGATGCAAATAATTATGTTTAATTGTAAATGAAAATTAAAAGCTAGTTTTTGTTTTTTATGGTATTTGTTATACGTTTTTTTTGTTTGATTCGTTTTAGTGCTATTTTAGTTGTCATTATTTGGTTTAGTGTTGGACAGTGACGCAATTTTGCTAAAAGGCACGCAGCATTTTAAAAAACACACGTTTTTAAAAAATAAAATTAAAAATAGCAACATTTGCGCCGCTGCCTGACTATGGCCTCAGTTATGTTCCACTTTAACTTCAATTATTTTATTATTGTTTGATTTATATATTTTATATCTGTTATTTTTCAGCTGCGCACATTTCTGTAAAGAACAAACGCCTTAAATACTACTAAATAATATACGAAAAATGTGCGCAGATCTGAAAGAAAACAAACGCGTCTGTTATTGAATTGTGGCTGTGCTTAGTTCGTTTATATATGTATATGTATATATATATATATATATCATCTATAAGGTGGGTACCGCCTTGATGGCCAGGCCATTCGGCTGCGACCCCAACTTTGACTAGATTGAGTTTGGGTTTGTTTAGTTTTGCGACTAGCTTCGTAATTTTTGGTCAGTTTTTGTGTGCGTTTTCTTTCGGGAATGTGTTTCTTCTCTTTTCTCATTTTGTTGGAATGTTCCACTTACAATTAAAACTAAATAATAAATACTTGTAACTAAATGCTAAATATATAAATTGTTGTGCTTTCTTCTTTTTTTTTTCTTGGTTTCTTGTGCATGGCTTTTCTGTGTTGGTATCTTGAGGTAAATTCACTAAAAATTTCATTTACTTCTGCTCTATAAGTTGCGCAGTTTTCTTTTTGTTTGTTTGTTTATAAGCATAAATGTTCATATTGTTATATAAATTCATTTATTTAAATTATTGTTTTCAAGTCCGTCTGAGGTAGCATTTTTTTTTTGTTTTTACTTTTTATATGTTTCACTTGTTTCAACTATCTTTTATTTGTTTATATTTATTTCGCTTTTATCTTTATAGATTTTATTTAGTATTTTATTTAGTATATAAAAAGTACCAATGGTCATTGTACTTTTGCCCTGAGTTGTTCATGTTTGCCTTCTGCTGCTGCTGCTGCTGCTGCTGCAAAAAAATAACCTTTACTGGCGCCATTTTCATTATCTGTTCACACTGAATCGGTTCTATATAGCCCCGCCTTAGGTGTGCCCATCATTTGATGCGCTCTATGTACAGTTCATGTGTGTGTGTGTGAGTATGTGTGTGTGTGTATGTTTTGGCATAGGGTGTACTACAATATAGATGTATGTGTAAATTTGAAAAGAATAATTTGTTTAAAGTTCAAGTTATGTTCGAGTTTTCTAGTTGGCAATAAAAGTTCTTGTTTATAGAGCAGAGCGGGGAAAACTTGTTAATTGCTCGTATTTATCTACAGTGTATATTGTATCTGTGTGTGTGTTACTATGGAACCTTTGTATATAAGCACACCATGCCTAAATCTTCTTCTTTTTTTCCTTACTTAGCTCTAGAGCTGTCCTCCTAATTTTGATTTTGACTACTTTATATTTTTGATTTTGAGCAAATTTGTGCATAAAAATGTTCTCTTATATGCTGAAGCTTGAATTTGTGTACCTCTCTAGTTTTCTTTTTAGTTAGCACTACTAAATATAGTATTATACCAAAAATCCCTTAAACTAAGCGCACCGAACCCAGCCATATATCCATATATATGTGTGTGTGTGTGTGTGTGTGTGTGTGTGTGTGTGTGTTCTGTTAAGCTGATTGGCTATGGCTACTACGATATATGTTTGGTTATATGTATGTATATATCCTCTACACACGCCTCCCACTTTCTTCCACTTTCTCCCACTCTCCCAACTCTCCTGCCTGGCGACTTATGTATTATGTACGTATTTAATTTTCCTTTTTTTCGACTAAGTTACCTCTCCTCGTACCTTTCCCGTTTACGATACGTTAATGGCTTTTAAAAATTACTATTACGCATAGGAACTTTGATATTAATCACTAGAGATATAGATATATGTATTGTTTGGTATGTTATGCAATTTTTATGTTTATCTTTTTTTTTTGGTTTTCATTTGATTTTTATCATGTTATCTTGGTTATGGATTTATAAAAAAATATGTTTTTAGCACACAGTGTTGCCAGCTGAAACGGACTTGTTATTTGTTTTGATTATAGATATTCAAGTTTTTTTCTTGTAGTTGGTTTCATGTTAAACACAAAACGCATTAATTTTCACTATATATGCCACATATTTGCAATTCTGCAGATCTGCAGTTGCTGTAGCTATATAGCTATTGTATATAAACTTTACTTTAATGAGCTCAACTAATATGCGCACTCAGTCTTTTGTAGTTCCACTATTTTGTCTTGTCTTCTTGTCGGTTAACGGTTAACGGGCTGGGGTAGTGGGACGATAACTGCTTGCCACCACTGTGGCCGGCTGTAGCTTTCGTTAAAAGCTCAATGACACTTGCTAGTTATATTACCTAATCAGTGGATTAATCTTTGAGAGAAATAACCAAAACATCAAGAAAATTTGCTTTTTTAAAGAATTAGAAAACTTTCAATGAAGCAAGAAGTTCTCTAAGCTCATAAAGTTTTCGCGCTGCATGTTTTGTGCTTTCATTAAATATAAAAAATGTTGTCTAGCGCTTGAAGCTTAAAAGTTTGTTACTCCATTTCAGATTCAAGCTAAATCAATTGTTGTTTGTATTTCACTTGGAGCTTTAGGCTAAGAGTTTTTATATTCTTTTCGATGTTTGAGCTTAAAGCTCATTTAAGCTTCAAGCTGGATTAAATGTGCTTTCATTGGCCTAGAGCTTAAAAGTGTGTCACTCCTTGTATATTTTTTAAAAGCTTCTCTCGCTATCCTGCTCTGTCAGATTAATCCCATTATTGGGCATCATTTTAAGCTCGTGTCATTGTGCTATTGTTGTTGTAAATGGTTCTAAACAAAACGGTTGGGCTTTAACTTACATACGCTGGCAACACTCTTGTGTTGTTTTGGATTTGTGTGTGTATCGGTGCCTGGGAGCCAACTCTGGGCAAGCTTAGGCTGGTGTCAGCCTGAAGCTCAGTGTGGTCGACTCCGAGGCGCGCACGCGCACCGGCAAATAGACAAGGGCGGGCGCAAACAGACCCTCCGCATCGCCGTCGGCGGGCGTCAAATGGAAGGCCTGCATCTGATATGCCTCCTCGGACTTGTCCGGCTGCGCATAGCTGGCCGGCTTGCCGCTGCCATTGGCCAGATCGCTGCACGCCTCAAACGGCGAGGTGGCCGCCGAGCGTTGGGCGTTGATGCCGTTGGGCGTGCCGGGCTTGGAGTTGATGGTGCTGCGTCGTCCTGGCGTGGGTGTCACGGTTGCGGAACGTGCTTTCGGCGAGGCAGCAATTGTGCCTGGTGAGTGTATCGTTGTGGGCGTGGGTGTGGGCGTGGCAGCCTTCGCATTGCTGTGGCTGCTGCTGCTGTTGCTGCTGTTGTTGGTGGTGGTCAGATTCGTGGGCTCGATGTGCTCCACATCGGCTCGGTCGGCTCTCTCGCGGCTCGGCTTGGTCCTGGCCTTGCCCTGCACCAAGGCAAAGGATCTGTCCCGTTCGTTGCGCGGCGGCTCCGCCTCGGCGGCGACATGCGTCTCCCCGTCGCCTCCATTGTTGAGCAGCGCATGCGAGCGCTCGTGTATGAAGAGGAATGCATAGTAGGGCGTGGTGAAGGGGCAGAGCGAGCACTGGTATTCCTTGAAGCGTGGCGTCTGCTCGAACATGCCCGGCAACGGCAGCGGCAGCGGCATTCCCTTGGGCAGCTGCATCTGGCCAAACAGCTGCTGTTGCGCATTCTGCAGCGCCTGAGCCAGATTGTTGGCCGGACTGACGCCGGCGACGGCGCCAGCGGGATTCCCATTGGGTATCTTGAGCGTGGGACTGTTCGGCTTGCTGCCGGCGCCGCTCTGTGGCGACTGTTCCAGGTCGCGCAGCTTCTCGATGCCCGCGGCGCCGTGTTCGTTCATCAGATGCGTGCGCAGCCACTTGGCGCTGCGGAACTGGCGGGCGCACAACGGGCACAGCTCGTTGCCGGCGCCGGAGTCGCCGCCAATCGGCGTCAAATTGATCTCCGGCTCCAGAACCAGCTGCTGCTGTTGTTGTTGCTGTTGCTGCTGCTGCTGTTGCTGCTGTGCCTCGGCCTTGAGTCCGTTCTGGGCGCTGCCACGCGGCTGGGGCAATGGTGCCCCATCCTCGATGATGCCGTGCGTGTTGTGCTTGTGCACGCGCAGAAAGTACTTGCTGCACAGCTCCTTGTTGCATATGTTGCAGACGACGCCGCCGATTTGGGCGCCATTCTCGATCTCAATGCCGTGCATGCGCTGCATGTGCGTCTTCATGAAGTACTTGTTGCACAGCTCCTTGTTGCAGATCTCGCAATAGCTGGACGTCGGCGTTATGGTGTAGGCGGCACGCGGCGGCACAGCGGCAGCGCCGCCGGCAGCCGGCACCGTGGCACGCTCCGGCGTGTAGAAGCCTTCGCGCAGCGGACTGGTGCCGGGTATGCGGCCCAGATGCACCTCGGCGATATGTTGCTTGAATTCCTGTTGTGTGGCAAACTCGCGCTCGCACTGCTGGCAGCGCAGCTCATTCGCCGTCGACGTGGGCGTGACCGCAGCCCCGGGCGAACCGCCGCCTCCGCCGCCCAAAGGCGACAACTTGAGCGGCAACTGTGGCTGCTGCGGCTGCTGCTGTTGCTGGTAGAGCATGGGATGGCCCTCGGGCAGCAGCTGGCCAGCATGCTCGGTCATGAGATGGGCACGCAGCGCATACTGATGCTCCAGCTCCCGGCCGCACAGGTGGCACGGCAGCGGTCGCTTGCCATTGAAATCATTGAGCTGCTGCAGCATCGACTGCAGCTTCTGCAGATTCTGCAGGCCCATCGCAGAGCTGTCCAGCTTTTCCGGCGGCGTCGACTCATCGTAGGGCTCCAGTTTGATGCGCTTGTGTGGCTGCTCCTCCAGCTGCTGCTGCTGCTCGTCGTCGACTTGTTGCTCCTGGTCGGGCTGCTGTTCCTGCTCGGCGGCTGCCTTGGGCAGCATCAGATTGAGCGGCATGAATGGCCAGCCGGCGGGCATGACCGGCTGCTGCTCCTCCTTGCCCAGATCCTCGGGCGGCACAAAGACGCCATGACGCTTCCATTTGTGCGTGCGCAGAAAGTAACGATTGGCGTACTCCTTGCAGCACAGCTCACAGAATGCCTCCGGCAGCTGGACGCCCAGCCGCCGCAGCTTCTCCGGCGCACAGCTGGCGTCGCGCGCCTGTTGCTGCAGCTGGGCCGGCAGCTTGCGCGGCGGCGGCGCAAAGGCCAGCTCCTCCTGCTCTAGAGTGAAGTCCTCGCGAAAGCCTTCGGGCAGTTGATAGGGCTTCTGCTCGGCATCCGCCATGGGCTCCTGCTTGACCTGCTGCACTGGGGCTGGCAGCTGGGCAGGCTGTGGCTGCTCGTTGGGGCTGCCGCGTCGCGTCGCTTGGGGCGTTGGTGAGGCTGTGGGCGTGGCTGCCTGCTCGTGCTGCTTGGCGCGATGGCGGCGCATGGCGAAGACGTTGGTGAAGCGCTTCGAGCAGATGTCGCATTGCACCGCTGGCGGCGCCGGTGGCGTCAATTGTGGCTCTGGCTTTTGTGCTGCCGGCGGCAGCGGCGGCGGCGGCGGCTCGCGCGGCATTTGCAGCTGTTGGAACATGGAAGTGGAGCTGCTGCTGCTGCTCGTATTGTTGATGCTGTTGATGTTGTTGTTATTGTTGCTGTTGCTGCTGTTGTTGTTGTTATTGATGTTGCTGATATTGTTGTTGGGCGTGGCCAAGTCACCGGCGGGATCAAAGATGCCATGCTTGTTGGCCTTGTGCGTCTTGAGAAAGTATTTGTTGCAGAACTCCTTGTTGCACAACTCGCAATAGGCCTCCGGATTGAAGATGCGCAGCGGCGGCCGATTGAGTCCCTCGACGCCTCCAAAGCCGGGCATGCCCAAAAGTGGCCAGCCCAGCGCTGCGGCCTCCGGCGGAAATGCAAAGGCGGGCGGCATGCCCGGCAGCTGCTGTTGATGCTGCTGCTGCTGTTGTTGTTGCTGCTGGTGCTGCTGTGCCATGGCCTGCAGCCAGAGCTCGTGCTCCTTATTGTTGTTGCCATGTCCATTGGCCAGTTCCAGCTGCTGCTGCTGCTGTTGCTGCTGCTGCAGCTCCAGCTGCGTGGGACTGTCAGCACGCTCCAGTTTAACTTGAATGTTGGCCAGCAAGTCCATGGGCTCATCTGCCGCCAACTGTTGCTGCTGTTGCGACGACAACTGTTGCTGGTGCTGCTGCTGTTGATGCTGTTGATGATCCTGCAGCATGTGCAGGCTGAGCTTGAACTCTGTCTCAAAGTTCTCGCCGCACTGCTTGCAGTAGGTCTGATAGGGATTCATTGGCGATTGCTCCCGCTCCCGCTGCAGCTGCTGCTGCTGCTGCTGTTCCAGTTGCTGCCTCTCCTCCGCTTCTGATATGTCTTCGGGCTGTAGCTTCTGCTGCTGCAGCAGCTCGAATGTCTCCTTCAGCTTCTCGATGGACTTGGGTAGCAGCATTTTCGACAGCTTCTCCTCGTAGTCGATCACTGGCTCCGCTGCGGCATCTTTGGCGGCCCCCTCGTCCGTCTCGGCGCCGCTCAGATTGAGCGCCTCCAGACGACTAGGATTGTGTTGCTTGCGTCGCTTTTTGGCCGCATCGTTGAGCGCCTCCAGCAGCTGCAGCTGCATGGCTGCTGCATTTGCTGCGGCCGCGGCCATTGCGGCCATTGCCGTTTGATCCAAAACGCCGTCTGCCTCGCCCTCGGCCTCGCCGTCGCCCTCGCCCTCCTCCTCGCCATCAGCTTCGTCTGCCTCATTTGTGTTGCTTCCCGTGGCGCTCAACTTCGACTTGGACTCCGTGTCCAAGTGCGCTTGCTGAGTGGGTGACATTTCTGTGGCTGTTGTGCTCGCTGCTGTTGCTGCTGTTGTTGTTGCTGCTGTGGCTTCATGTGGCTGCAATGTGTGACTGTTGTTGTTGTTGTTGTTGCTGTTGTTGTTGCTGGTGCTGTTGTTGCTGCTGCCGCCGCCGCGATTTGTGTTGAGTGTGGATGAGTTGGAGACATCGGAGAGCGCTGTGTCCTCGCTGCTCAGATCCGGCGGTGGGGTGGCATATATGGATGCGGCCATTTTGGATGATATTACTGTGAGAATGACAACGACAACAACAACGAAAAAAGGAGAAAAGAAAGCATAAAGGACAATGAGTCGCAGCGTACAGAGTGCTTTAATTAAAGAAGCCCCAAACTAATTGGGTGTCTAAAGTTGCAGGAAGCTTAAGCATGCCAGCTGAATACGTGGAATACGTCGGGTTTTATTTGGGTTTAACTCTAACTGGTTTGTGTGGGTCACATGAGCGCTATCCAGGCTGGGTAACGTGGTGGGGTTCCGGTTCGGTGGAGCCTACGGTATGAATAGCTTGGGGCTTAAATCGTGTTAAGCTCCCTCCTCGCCTCTCTCCTCGCCTATGTACTAAACTTCTATTCAATTTTATTTCTATTTGCCGCAAAAGTATGTTGCCAAAAATGTTGTACCTACACACACTAATACACACACACACATACACACTAGCACACACACGCACATCTGGCATACAACATTTTGTGTCTCATTTCCTTATGCGCTTAATTTCATTTTTCTTCTGCTTTTCTTTTGCGCTCTGTAATTTTTTTTTCTTTCTCCCAGCACTTTTTCATTTTTGTGCAAATTCTATGAAAAATTTTTCCATTATGTACACAAATACATGCGCACATCCCACACACATACGTATTTATATGTATATAAAGAAAAGTTTTTGTGCGCCCAGCTGCCACCCACAGCCGCACACATCAACAAAAACACACACACATTCACACACATATACATATATACATATACACTTGCAACCCCATTGCCGCACACGAAAATTTATACAAAGTCATCCGATTTAAGGAATACAAATTTTGCTTATTTTGTGCGGCGAACACACACAAACTTTCCTCCACCCCACACACACCCAACCACCCACACACACACACACACACACACATACACTCGCACACACACACACACACTCATACACGCCCAGTGTAATATTTGGCAACCAGTCGCCCCCGCTGACACCGTCACTTGAACTGCGCATAAAACTTATAAAAATTTTCTTCAACATGACTTGGTAAAATAAATTTGATTCTCAAGAAAGCAAAAGGAAGCCGACAACGACACGAAGACGGCCCAAAAAAATAGGAAGGAGGCGGTGCGGCCAGAGCGTGTGGCAGGGGCAGACGAACAGGCACAGGACAGGCTGCCACTGGCAACCGTGTGGCAAGGGGCCAAGGCAAAGGCAAAAATGTCGAAATAAACCCAACAAAAAAAAAAAAAATAAGCGAAGAAAAATAATTTTTTTTCCCTATTTTCTCGACGCGAAGGCAGGCAGAAGAAAAATATTCTCAACTATGCTGCAGACATAAATTAAGTTTCCATGGTTGGAAATTGGTTCTCTCGTAGATGTTGTTGCTGTTGTTGACTTTGCTTTTATACAATTTCAGCAATGAAGGCAAAACCCACCGCCCCTTCCCTGCACTACGCCCACTTTGGTACTTTGAGGAGTTAAGCAAAAATGCCTGCCAGAATGTGTGTAATGTCTGTGTGTGTGTGTGTGTTTGTGTGTGTGTGTGGGTGACTGAATGTGGTTGGGATTTTTATAAAGCCTAAGGTAGTTTGATGTTATTTTATTTGATTTTTCTTCTTTTTTTTTTTGCCAGCTCTTCGTCTACTTAAATGAAAATGGGCAGCAGCCGAGTGTAAACAGGTCTGGTACTTGGCCATATATCAAACTGAGATACGAGCCCCAGCAAATCGCGCTAATTAGCAAACTTAACAGATATCTATATATAGCATAAGGGCTTAAGCTCACTTTACAACACTAAACATTTATCTATATATAGTATAAGAGCTTGAGCTCACTTTACAACACGTACTCATTAATTTATTATCGGAGAAAAAGCTCAATTTCTTTAAGTTTAGCCAAAGCTTTAAGCGAGGCTTTTAAGTTTCTTGCTAGCACTTTGCGTATATTGCGAAATTCGTTCAACTACCGTTACACGTTTCGTTCACTTGCACTTTCGTTAAGTTCGCGCTCAGTTTATCGAGTCGCTGGCGCATGCGCACTTCGCTGCTGCTGCTCGTGTCCTGCCAAGTGGCTCGCTCGTTTTCAACTGCCGCATGACGCAGCAGAAACGCCAAACACAACAAAAAATCAAATGAAAAAAACTGTCAAATCGCAGTTACAAGCGCAAAATCAAAACAGCAAACAAAATTGATACTAAAATCACACACTCACACACACACAATTGCATGGAAATGTATCAATGCACACCCCGCAGCACATTTAATAGTTTTCCCTACACATACACACACACACACACAGGCAGGCAGATAGCTACCCACAGCATTTTTCCCCATGCTTTGCACCCAAAAAACCTCAATAAAACACCCCAAAATATCAAAAATCAAATAATTTCCCTTAAAAAAAAAACACCAACAACAGCAACGCGCACAGCGACAACAGAGCGTCGCTGCTCGGAAAACCATTATTGCTCCGCCCCTTTTTTCAACTTTTCACTAACCACCACACACACATACACGGTCACACACACGAACACACACACATGCATACACAGTCACTCAAGCGAGCGCGTTATGTTGACTTTTTTTCCTGCTCGTGCCAATTTATCATTGTTCGATAGTTTTTCAATTTGTTTTTCCAGCTACTGTTCTGTTGTTGCTGTAGTATTTGTTGTTGTAGCTGTTGTTGTTGTTGTCGTTGTTATTGCCGCGAGTCACAGTTCCATTTTTGTTATTCTAATATATTCAACATTTGTGACTTTGTCGCGACTTTTCGTTGGGTTCGCCCTTAGAACTTGATATGGGTTTTTCTCATGTTCTTGAGTCGCTCGTTTTGCAGCACTCAATTCTTGTGTATTCATTGTATTCATATCTGCAAAGTGAGTGCATTTGACAAGTCCCATTCATGTAGTCTATAAATTGGAACCGCAGCTGATTGCAGCAATTGCTTCGCCCCATTCTTATGTGTAATCTTGTCGGGCGCACATCTCACTTAAATATGGACTTAAGTAATTGCCGTCTTGTTTTCGAAGGTCTTCAGGGGTAGCAAAATCTGTAAGCAAATTTCTGTGGTAGCAGCCAATTGAATGGGCATTTAAGCTGTGGGTTTTACATTTTTAGTGGCAGAAGAGGGTGCTAAAAAAATTGTGTTTACCTGAACTGGAAGGGTATGAGCAAAGACAATATGAATACTCTTTATATTGTCTTTGGCATAGGCTTACATAGATGATAAACAAGTCAATTATGGTTGATTATAAGATAACTAATCTTAACGATCCGTTCGTTTAAGGAACTTTGCGGAGCTGGAACGTAGAACCAGACTTTAAATGAGGCTTACTTTATAATTTAGAGGGGATTGGGGGAGGTATTCAAAATGTGAAATATTCGAAATCTGTATATAATATGCAACCAACTTAATGCCAAGCTTGATGCATTTGGCACTTAGAATCTGCGAGCTGTGAATAAAAAACTATGTCTTAATATCGACATTAAGGAAATGAGAGGAGATATCAGAACAAAAGAATATACCCTTTATGTATATAGTATAGAAGCTTTTGAAGTATCCAGAACCAACGGGCTAACAGGGAAGAACAGAGAGACAAACATGGCTAGATCAACTTAACTTCACGGCCTCATAATGAAAATGGGATAAGAGACGAGTGTACCTTTGACAAATAACACCTTCTCAGGGTTTTATTCCGTATTTATAATAATAAGAGCTCCAACAAATATCTTTAGTTACGACATCGCACAACATTCATTCATCAAGCTGCAGATTCAAGTGAGTTACAAAGCGCAAAGTAGTTCCCAAAATAACTCATCTAGCGAGAACTAACATATTTTATAGAATTCATCCATGTATCCCAAGGTTTCATGTTTTTGGGACTTTATTCTAAGTAATAAGCTTGGCAGGCCGTTTTGACTCAAACGAATGACAGCTAAATTAGTTGGCTTGACTTGATCTGATTTTGCTTCACCTTCGCAAATTTGATCCAAAATGTATGCCCATTATGTGTAGCTCCCCTGACATATCCAAGGCAATGTTTGGGGTTTTTTCTTACGCACTGATAGATTGATTTTGACTTTACAGGATGCTCACGGATGTGGGCAAATGTGTGTCTCTCTCATATGTGTGTGCGTGTTGGCCACACCACCCTTTTGCCCCAACAAAAACAACAACAGCCCCACCTCCCGCTCTCCGTCAGGCACATGACAGCACGACGGAAAAGTGAAAGTGACTTGCCAGGTTCATCTCGGTCTCTATGTCTGTCCATTTGTCGTCCTGTTTGCCTCTCTATCTGCTGTCCTGCCATGTCCAATGCTCGCACTGGTTTCAGTTTCTGGACATGCGCACTCTTGGCCAACACATGGTGGCTGTTGCCTTCCCCCTCCCAGTGCACGCTGCTCTCTCGCACGCGCTCTCGGCACCGGCTGAGCGGAGTCATATGGAGCGCATGTGTGTGTGTGTGTGTGTGCGTTAAAGTCGAAATCGCCGGTTGAACGAACCAGGCGCACAAAATAGCCCAACAGCCGCAGCAGCGGCAGCAGCAACAGCATTGGAAACCCATTGGCCAGAGTCGAGTCGAGTTTGGAGCATGGAGCGCGGTGCGTGGCGCGTTCAGCTGCGTCCCAGTTGTCTGGCCACGTCCAGTGGTCAAGGTTTGCTGTTGACTTTCACTTTTCACATGTCGGCATGTCGGCCTGTCCGTGTGTCCAGCGCCAGTGTGACGTTGCGGTTGCCATCGGATTCGGTATAGCCGATGCCGGCACTTTCGCTTTCGCATTTGCCCACACACACACACACACACAATAGGCATTTGAGCGGGACTAGAAGGGGAGGTAGGTAGGTAGGTCGGTCGGTCGGTCGGTTGGCTGGCCATGATATTGGGTCAAGCGCTAGTAGGCGCATGTCTGTTGCTGGACACTACACGTGTGCACTCGAAATGTAAACAAAGGACAGCAACAACAGTCCAATTCGAAAGCTTTGCCCACACGTAATTATAGCTTCCAGCCGGGTGACAACTGTCAACCGCCCTGA